GGAGGTTAGCCTGGCCTCTGATTGATACATGGCTAGATTTACCTCGCTGCACCTTCTCTGTGAGTGACTGCAGTGTGACCTAGAGGAATGAGTCCCCTAGACAGGGGAGGAGGCAAATGAGTACAAAACAAATCTGGTCTATTTCTTGTTTTGACCCACTCCATCTATCTTTTACATCTTTGGCTGGCAGCAGACGGTGCAGAAGGACTGCATGCCATCCACATCTCATGGCTGCTCGGCAGAAGATGGTACAGTACGACTGCTAGCCATCCCCATCTCTTGCCTGCCTGGCAGAAGATGGTGCAATACGACTGCTAGCAATCCTCATCTCTTGCCTGCCTGGCAGAAGATGGTACAGTACGACTGCTAGCAGTCCGTATCGCCTGCCCGCTCACCATAAGACGGTTCAATAGGACTGACTGCAGGACTAAAGAGAATGACCTGGTCAAGTCACTCCAAATTTAGTCCCTGCGCCCATGTCTGCCCAGGCGCTCCCAGCCGACGCGGCCAGGAGCACCTCGGACACGATGAGGACGACTACCAATCGTATTGCACCGTCTGCTGCCAGAAGGCAAGGGGTTGCTGCTACTGTGCAGCAAAGCCGTACCGCGTCTGCCAGCACCCAGGAGACATAGGGTGACGGTTACCTGGGCGGGCTCCATGCTTGCTGTGGTATGGCGTCTGCACAGGTAACTCAGGAAAAAAGGCGCGAAATGATTGTCTGCCCTTGCTTTCACGGAGGGAGGGAGGGAACGGGGGCCTGACGACACATACCCAGAACCACCCGCGACAATGTTTTAGCCCCATCAGAGTGCTCCATTGTGACTGCTCTGGACAGCACTCTCAGATGCCCGATTGTTTGCCATTGCTCTGACGCTGGGAGGGGCGCTTACAGGGTTGGCTTCAGGGAGCTAAAATCAACAAAGGGGGTGGCTTTACATCAAGGAGTATTTCAGGCAGGACTTCACGGAGGGTTCCAATAAGAAATGGTGCACCTAAGTTATTGTCCTTATTGGAGCAAGAAGGTTAGCCTGGCCTCTGATTGATACATGGCTAGATTTACCTCGCTGCACCTTCTCTGTAAGTGACTGCAGTGTGATCTAGAAGAATGAGTCCCCTAGACAGGGGAGGGGGGGAAGCAAATGAGTACAAAACAAATCTGGTCTATTTCTTGTTTTGATCCACTCCATCTATCTTTTACATCTTTGGCTGGCAGCAGATGGTGCAGAAGGACTGCATGCCATCCACATCTCATGGCTGCTCGGCAGAAGATGGTACAGTACGACTGCTAGCAGTCCGTATCGCCTGCCCGCTCACCATAAGACGGTTCAATAGGACTGACTGCAGGACTAAAGAGAATGACCTGGTCAAGTCACTCCAAATTTAGTCCCTGTGCCCATGTCTGCCCAGGCGCTCCTGATCGACCTCACAGAGGCGACCAGGAGCACCTCAGACATGACGATGACGGCTACCAGTCGTACTGTACCGTCTGCTGCCACAAGGCAAGGGGTTGCTGCTACTGTGTAGCAATGCCGTACCGCGTCTGCCAGCACCCAGGAGACATAGGGTGACGGTTACCTGAGCGGGCTCCATGCTTGCCATGGTATGGCGTCTGCACAGGTAACTCAGGAAAAAAGGCGCGAAATGATTGTCTGCCCTTGCTTTCACGGGGGGAGGGAGGGAACGGAGGGCTGACGATATGTACCCAGAACCACCCGCGACAATGTTTTAGCCCCATCAGGCATTGGGATCTCAACCCAGAATTCCAATGGGCAGCGGAGACTGCGGGAACTGTGGGATAGCTACCCACAGTGCAACGCTCCGGAAGTCGACGCTTGCCTCGGTACTGTGGAAGCGCTCCGCCGAGTTAATGCACTTAATGCACTTAGAGCATTTTCTGTGGGGACACACACACTCGAATTTATAAAACCGATTTCTAAAAAACCGACTTCTATAAATTCGACCTTATTCCGTAGTGTAGACATACCCAAAGTTTGTGAAGAGAAGGAGGAGGAGTGACTTGATCACAGTCTATCAGTACCTACAGTGGGAACAGAAATTTGATAATAGGGGGCTCTTCAATCTAGCAGACAAAGGTATAACAAGACTCAATACCTGAAAGATGAAGACAAATTCAGACTAGAATAAGGTGCAAACTTTTAACAGTGAGGGTAACTAATCATTGGAACAACTTATCAAGGGCTATGTTGGATTCTCCATCACTGGAAAGTTTTAAATCAAGATTGGATTCTTTTTCTAAAAGATCTGCTCTAATTCAAACACAGATGTTAGATTTGAAAGAGGAATTAATACAGGGAAGTTCTCTGGCCTGGGTTGTGCAGGAGGTCAGACTAGACCACTGTTTTTTAGCCTGGGATCCACAGACTAGATTTTCAAAGGGAGCCACATCTCCATTTGAAATTTTTTAGGGATCTGCAAATGAAAAAAAGCTTGAAAACCATAGACGATCACAATGGTCCTTTCTAGCCTTAAAAAAAATATAAAATAAAATTAAAAAAAAAATCTACGAATCTATATGAACTTCCAATACCGAAGAGTGCTTCTTTGAAGAAACTGAGTTAGTAATATTTATTGCAATAGTGCCTTCCTCACAGCTGTAGACAAACACTGCAGTTTAGCAAAACTTTTCCACAGCCTATGTTGCCTTATCTTCATTTGATTTATTTCCAGTAACTACAATTTCTTTTATTTCCCCTTAATATGTTTACAGAGATCAAATTGTGAGGGTTTTTTAAAAAACAATTATTTTACTTATATATTAATAAGGGATTTCCTCTAAGATCACATAAGCAGTCATTGGTGCCCTAGCTTTTCTCCTGAAAAGAATGGCAAATGGAAATCGTACACTTCCTTAAAATGCCTCAGTTGCTTGGTTCAGAGGGAAGAGAACATATCTGAGAAACTTTACAGAGGGCTTAATATCTTAGTCAAGTCCCAATTTAAGTTTTACACCCATTTTCTGTATTTCTTTGTCTATTATTGCCAATTACCCATAGTGGTTTGTAAACAGAAGCTTTCTCCATTCACTGTCAAGTCCACAGTCCAGTGCTTGTGACATCACAATTTATCCCCCCAGAAGCCATTATGTTAAAAATACTGGCCTGTAGCAAAAATAAAGTCAGAGACTCATTTAAACTCTTTCCCTTTGTATTTGCCAGTGAAGGGAAGAATTTTGGTTTCTGGTATGTTGTTCTGTATCTAAACAAGTACAGCAGATTTCACTCTCTACATTAAAAATTAAGAAACGGACCTTTTTTAAATTAGAAAAAAACCTGTTAAATAGTCAAACAATGTTCAGTTCTACTGTCTGAAATGACAAGTTCCAAAGTTTAAAAAGTAGAAAATCAGCTTTTCTTCTTTACTCCATGTGACTATGCAAAGTTGGTAATTAGTATAACTCCTTGCTAATGAGCTGGGACAATCATTACATGCTTCAGTAATTACAAGCCATTATATAAACTTTCAAGGGCTTTTATTTTATTTTTTTTTAAAAAGATCTAATCATGGATTTCAGCAGGTCATGAGATCTAATCTCTTCTCCAGGAACGGGAATAGCAGGTCCATATATTACTACAGTCATAAGGTTAATTATCACTGCTGACACAAACCACTAAGCTCCATTAGTAATATCCACTAATATTGTAGCTGCTGCATAAAACTAAGCAGTTTTCTGCAGTGAAACAGCAACTAGTATGAATGTGGGAGGTCTTCAGAACACAAACATACACCACCCCCTGAAGCCTGGAAGAGCTGGCTCAACAAAGTGCATGAAGACAGATGAAGATAATGGGTGAAAGAAAGAAGATGACCCCTGTCACAGATCCACAGTTTTTAAAAAAAAGAAAAGGAGTACTTGTGGCACCTTAGAGACTAACCAATTTATTTGAGCATGAGCTTTCGTGAGCTACAGCTCACTTCATCGGATGCATACCGTGGAAACTGCAGCAGACTTTATATATACACAGAGGAGGTATTGTTTCATATTCTCTGTGTATATATAAAGTCTGCTGCAGTTTCCACGGTATGCATTCGATGAAGTGAGCTGTAGCTCACGAAAGCTCTTGCTCAAATAAATTGGTTAGTCTCTAAGGTGCCACAAGTACTCCTTTTCTTTTTGCGAATACAGACTAACACGGCTGTTACTCTGAAACAGTTTTTAAACAGTCTCTTGCAGGAGCCCCTTTAGGGTGCCAGACCCCCAAGTGGTCCCACTCTTCCTTCACGGTAGGCCACACAGGCTCACAACATCCTAGATTGAGCGACTAGGTTCCAGCATTCCTGCTTTACACTTTGAGCTCTGCTCAGCAAATCTAACCAAGACAGACTCCTGATAGAGACTTGTATACTCTTCTGAGACTAATTCAACCCAGCCACTATTTGCAGTCACAGCCCAAACAGAACACAGCATTCAGAGTCCTTAGGTTAGTACAAAGAAATAAAAGTTAAAGCACAGTCCATTCTGGTCAAGTCACAATTCACCAGTCAAGCTGTAGTGAACTCCATTTTCAGGCTCTAGTTCTCTGACTTCCTTCCTCAGGGTATGCCTAAACTTAAACCACAGCAGCTGGGCCACTGTAGCACTTCAATGTAGACACTACCGATGCCAACTGGAGAGGTTTCCAGTGGCGCAGGTAATCCATCTCCCAAGAGGTGACAGCTACGTCAACTACAGAATTCTCCCATTGATCGAGAACTGTCTACACTGGGGATTAGGTCGATCTGACTGCACTGCTCATGGGGATTTGTCACACCCCTGAGCAACATAGTTATCCCGACCTAATTTTGGACCTAATTTTGTACTGGCAACCAGCGGCTTAGACTACCCGGAGAGCAAACAATTCTTCCCCCCACCCTGCATTGAGAAGCAATGCAAAGTAGGGGGAAACTCAGGCACACAGATACTTCACAAAAATAATACAAAAAAATTCCCACTTTGTCACAATCCCCAAATTCTGGAGCCCAATCCAAAACTCACTTACCTGAGATTCTTCATGATCTCTAAATCAATTGGCTAGGCCGGGCCCCTGGGTTCAAGCCTCACCCACCCCAAAGACCTGCTGAGAAAGTAGGAGCTCTTGTCAGGAAATGGGTATGTCAACAGGATGAGTGCCAGGAACCAACAGCCCAGTGGGATCCCAGTGTGCCCTCTCACAAACAAAAAAGGGAGTTGGGTCCCCTTCCTTATACATACGTATACAAGAGAAGAGGTATCCCTGGGCCCCAACAGTACACCAGAGGGGGGGCCCTGAGGCACTGCATCCCCCCGAATACCCAAATATATGTATTTACTTACATGGGGGTGTCCCCGAGTAATACCTCCTTCCCCCCCCCCATACAGAGGGTATCACTTCCCCCAAGGTATATATGCACCCAGGGGGACAGCTGTCCCCAGGCCACCTGCATGCATGGGAGATGGGGGGGGGGTCATCCACAGGCCACACACCCCAAGTACTGGGGGGGGGGAGAATGAGGATCATTCGCAGGCCCCCACACCAGACCCCTACATGCTCAGACAGGGGTGTTCCCTAGCCTCTCCACGCCCCCCCAGCTCACACACCTAAGGGTTTACTTCCTAGTCCGCCCGCTGCTCCCGCCCCGCACCCTACGGGGGGGGGGGGAGGGTTCCCAGCCCACTGCTCCCCCCTCCGCTCACCTCCTCCTCCCCCCCGGGGGGGGAAGAGTCCTTAGCCCGCTGCTCCCCCGCACACACACGGGGGGTCCCGACGCCGTCGGCCCTTCTCGAGCGGCGGGGCCAAGTCCCTTGTGGGGGGCGCGCCCTGTGCCAAGGCCGGGCCTGTCCGGGCGCCTGATCCCCGGCAGCGGGGCGCAGCGAGAGCCGCCCCGGCCGGACGCTTTCAGGCCAGCTCGGCCTTTGACCCGCCGCACCGGTGGGCGGGGCTCGCGCCCTGGATCGCCTCAGGGCGGTGTCGCTCGTGGCAACGCGGCCTGCGATGGCCCTGCCCACCTCCCCACCCTGCGCCGATAGGCCCACGTGACGGCGGGGAGGCCGCCATCTGCCAATGGGAAGGTAAGGGGCGGGCTTCCCTGAAGACGGGCGCGCGTGGGCTCCGTGCGGAGCGGGGGGAGTGAAGATCAGGTGACACAAACGGAGGTGGACGGGGGCGGGCAAAGCTTTTGGCCTGAGGCTCACAGCGGGTTTCCAAAATTGGAGAGAGGGGAGTGTGCCCCCCCCAACAGCCAGGCGCGGACCTCGCCCCCAGCCGACCGCCCTGCTTCTGGGCCCCTGAGAGGCCCCCGGGCCCCTGCCCCATCCAACGCCTCTGGTCCCTGAAAGAACAGGAGGACCTCAGAGACTAACCAACTTACTTGAGCTACAGCTCACTTCATGGGGTGCTTCATCTGTAGGTCGCTGAAAGCTTATGCTCAAATAAATTGGTTAGTCTCTAAGGTGCCACAAGTCCTCCTTTTCTTTTTTCTTTTTACACCACACAACAGAACCACTAACCCAGGAACCTATCCTTGCAACAAAGCCCATTGCCAACTGTGTCCACATATCTATTCAGGGGACACCATCATAGGGCCTAATCACATCAGCCACACTCATTCACCTGCACATCCACCAATGTGATAGATGCCATCATGTGCCAGCAATGCCCCTCTGCCATGTACACTGGCCAAACTGGACAGTCTCTATGTAAAAGAATAAATGGACATAAATCAGACATCAAGAATTAAAACATTCAAAAACCAGTCGGAGAACACTTCAATCTCTCTGGTCACTCGATTACAGACCTAAAAGTGGCAATACTTGAACAAAAAAAACTTCAAAAACAGACTCCAAGGAGAGATTGCTGAATTGGAATTAATTTGCAAACTGGATTCAATTAACTTAGGCTTGAATAAAGACTGGGAGTGGATGGGTCATTACACTAAGTAAACTATTTCCCCATGTTTATCCCCCACCCCCACTGTTCCTCAGACATTCTTGTCAACTGCTGGAAATTATCACTACAAAAAGGTCATCCCCCCCCCCACTCTCCTGCTGGTAATAGCTCACCTTAAGTGATCACTCTTGTTACAGTGTGTATGGTAACGACCACTGTTTCATGTTCTCTATGTATATAAATCTCCCCACTGTATTTTCCACTGCATGCATCTGATGAAGTGAGCTGTAGCTCACAAAAGCTCATGCTCAAATGGGTTAGTCTCTAAGGTGCCACAAGTCCTCCTTTTCTTTTTGCGAATACAGACTAACACAGCTGCTAGTCTGAAATCTGTTCCCTGAGGGACCCCCCCATCCCTTGACTGCCCCCTGCCGCCCCATCCAAACCCCCGCCGCTTCCCGACTGCCCCCCCCAACCCCCCTCTTCCCTGCTCTCACTGCCCCAACCCCTGTCCACAGCCCCGACCCAACCACACCCTTGAACTCCCCTGCCCCCTTCCCACGCTGCCTGGAGCACTGGTGGCTGGCGGCACTACAGCTGCTGCGGCTCTGCAACTGCACTGCCGACCGCTCAGAGCATCGTGCTGAGCCTGCGGGGGATGGCCTCCCGGCCAGGAGCTCATGGGCCAGGCAGGAGTGTCCTGGGGCCGGATGTGGCCCACAGGCTGTAGTTTGCTATCTGGTCACCCTATGCCAGAGGTGGGCAAATAGGAAAAATTCAGGAGAGAGTGTGGGGGGTAAGAGGCGCCTATATAAGAAAAATCTCCAAATATCAGGACTGTACCTATAAAATTGGGACATCTGGTCACCCTATGTGCGCATGACGGGGGGAGTAGCTTGCAGAACTCTCTGCCACTTGACAGCAAGGATTGCAAGTCTCTCCACCCCCACTATGCCAGTGGATATTGGCACAAGAGTCCAGGGTAGGATGACCAGACAGCAAGTGTAAAAAGTCAGAACAGAGTGTGGGGAGATAATAGGTGCTATATAAGAAAAAGCCCCCAAAATCAGACTGCCCTATAAAATCAGGACATTTGGTCACCCTAGTCCAGGGGCTCAAGCTGCCCCCTTCCTCTGCCACAACTAGTAACAGCCCCTATCCACAGAGGACTGGGGGCTAGATGGGCCGCTGGTCTCAGGGAGTCCAGATAGCCCCCACAGTCCAAGCCACACTGAGGAGAATGGAACAAGCCTACAGTGACAGAGGGCAGAAGTGGTGTAGGAAGATCACTGTGGTATTTTTCTACATTACAAACTCTGCTTGTTAGTCCTCCTGAAAAACACAGATTCTGTCAGCACAGCAGAGTGCGGGAGCCATAGGCAAACTAGAGAGGAAGGGCTTTAGTCCCCACCAAGAGCCTCCACCCCAGCTGGGAATCATGGCTTGGCAGCATATTTCTCCATTTAAAATAGACAGGAAGAGCTTGCACTGCCCTCAGGGCCGGCTCCAGGCACCAGCGAACCAAGCAGGTGCCTGGGGCAGCAAATGTAAAGGGGCAGCAGGACGTCGGACTCTGGGGCGGCAATCCACTCTTGGCCGGAATTTGGCAGCGGGGACGCAACTCTTCTTCGGTCGCTGGCAGCAATTCGGCAGCCACATCATCACTCCGCCTCTCTGTTCGGCGGGCAGAATTCTGCCTCCCCGTTCGACAGCAAGTTGTTGTTTTTTTTGCCGCTTGGGACTGCAAAAAACGCTGGAGCCAGCCCTGACTGCCCTCCTTTTTTCGGAAAAAAATTCCTTGAGTAACACATCTTTAAACCCCAGACAGGACACCCCACCACAAACCTGTCTCCCTTTTCCAAAGACCCCAGCTCTGGTCTGAGAATAGAGCTGCCACATGTGCAGGGGTAGGGCTAGAACACCCAGAATATTCACAGAAAGGAAGAGTAGCCCAGGCCCAACCCACAGTAAGAAAACTGGCCTGTGAAAAACAACATGAATAACCCCCAAGTGACATATGGTCATTCTAGAACTGACAGAACCCCTACTTTAATCTAATTTTCATGCTGCCCTTACTCCCTCTCAAATATAGAATCATAGAATATCAGGGTTGGAAGGGACCCCAGAAGGTCATCTAGTCCAACCCCCTGCTCAAAGCAGGACCAATTCCCAGTTAAATCATCACTACACCAAGATTAATATTAAAGACCAGCAAGATGTTCACATAATGGACTTAAGTAATCATATAATAGTTTTACCTACGTCTTCTCTAATATTAAAAAGCTAATATTAGATTGTAAATACAGGTAACATGGTCAGATTCTTATCTTACATCAGTTTTACAAACAGAGTAATTCCACTGGCTTCAGTGGAGTTACTCCTGATTTACATTAGTGTGAGATCAGAATCAGGCCTTGTTTGTTCTGTAAGGAATCCAGAAAACTGTAGGTCCTCTACACATAATTCTATAATCACTAAAAGATTTTACACGATAGCATATGTATGTGGAATACTAGACACACAAGGTATAAAACAGACAACAGACTCCAAAAAGCTCTGTCTAAGATTTTATTAGATTTGTTTCCAATATGCCTGTATTGGAAGATTAGGAGACAAAAGGCACAAACTCACATTAAAGAAACAACAAGATAATCTAATAAATTCTACAAAGTGTATGTTGTAAAAGAAATAGCACTATGAACCAATCAAAACTTGTCAGGGAATCCCAGCAGGGGCTATAGGAGGATAAACCCAGAAAGGTGCAAGTGTGCTGGGAGTACAGAGTGTCACTATGGCCTCCTCCATCAGGTAAACTCCAGCTAAAACATCCCAGCCCATAGGCCTCTCCACCAAGGCACCTGCTTCCGATCAAAACTGCAGTGTTTAAAATCCAACCAGGGCACCCGGATTGGATCTGAAGAGAATGTGACTGCACAAGGATCCCCCTAGAACAAACAAACATCTGATCATTAACCCCTCCAGAAGCCAGCAGGTTTTGGGTTCTTGCCAAAGCCAAATGCAAGAGATATACAGCACACTAACACAATCAGTGAAGATTGTTACATTTCGCCATGCTCTTACTAGTGGGAACCAAGGATCAAGACTGCCCTTGAGAGAGGTCTCTACAGGATCTCTCTATCCCAACTTTGAGGAAAACTTTCACTCTGGATAAACATGAATTTTTTTTTAAATCATGTATTTAGCTTGCAGTTTCCTGCATTTTTTCCTGGTAATTACTGCTAATCAGGAAAGCTTTGTGTTTAAATACGAGCTTTCACCCTCATACACAATCTGTTTCTGATCCCGTCTTTAGAATCTGTTTCCATGGAGTTGAAATGTCAGCTAGAAAACCTCTTGGATAAAAACACAAGTATCTAAGAACAATCATGTTATATATATTTTCAAGGTTTTCCCCAAGTTAAGAATCCCTCCTTAAACTCTGCTACTGACAAGATGTTAACAAATCAATGTGTTAATTCTCAATTAAAATATTCTAGATTGAGGGAACTCTAGTAAGGGGCGTACACTCCTGGACTCTGCTTCTCAAACCCCTAGAGAAATAGTGCCACAAAAACAACTTTCCTGGTCCCAAATAGTCTTGAAGATTAAGGTTTAATATCTTAGACTATTATTTAATAATGAGCTGGTTTTACTTCTACCTCATGAGTATGCTAAAATCCACATCCCAAAAACCCTCTGAGGTCACTGAGAAGGATCAGCCAGAGTTATCAGTACAATTCAGAGCTTATTGCACTTAGACATCTGTAAGGCAAAAGAACAGATTTACCAAAAAAAAAAAAAAAAAAAAAAAAAAAAAGGGGGGGTGGGTGGGGGGAGAGAATAAACTGCCTCTTGACTGAAAACCAGCCTCTTCCTCCAGAGCAAGCCCTGTGCATCTTTCCCCTGCACCGAAAACAATTCACCCCTGCACTTTCATTCAGCATGGCATGGGATTGATTCAGAAACTATTAGCTGATGGAGGTTTGTAAGAGGCGGAGTACAAACCGGGCATACTGCATGAAGCATTACTCAAAAAAACAACCCCCCC